AGTTTTTATCATGAATGGGTGTTGAATTTTGTCAAATGCTTTTTCTGCATCTATCGAGAGGATCATGTGGTTCTTGTCCTTGACTTTGTTAATATAGTGTATTATATTTATTGATTTACTTACGTTGAACCATCCTTGCATCCCTGAAATAAATCTGACTTGGTCAGGATGTATGCTCTTCTTGATGATCCTCTGTATTCTGTTTTCTAGTATCTTATTGAGGATTTTTGCATCTATATTCATTAAGGAGATTGGCCTGTAGTTCTCTTTTTTAGTTGCATCTTTCCCTGGTTTGGGAATCAAAGTGATACTTGATTCCAGGAATGAATTTGGAAGTATAGCTTCCCTTTCAGTTTCATTGAAAAGTGTGAAGAGTAATGGCAGTAGATCTTCTCTAAGTGTCTTGTAAAATTCAGCAGTGAATCCATCAGGACCTGGGCTTTTCTTTGTTGGTAAGTTTTTAATTACATTTTCAATTTCACTGATTGTGATTGGGGTGTTTAAAATGTTTTTATCTTCTTCGTTCAACTTTGGTAATTCATAAGTATCTAGAAATCTGTCCATTTCTTCTGTGTTTTCCGTTATATTAGAGTACAGGTTCTCATAGTATGTGCTAAGCACATACTTTTGGATCTGTTGTGACTTTGCCTTTTTCATTCCTGATTGCATGAATCTGAGCCTTTTCTTTCCTTTTTTTGATAAGGTTTGCTAAGGGTTTATCAATTTTATTTATTCTTTCAAAAAACCAACTCTTCAATTCATTTATTTTTTTGTATCGTTTTCTTAGTTTCCATTGCATTGATTTCTGCTCGAATCTTTATAATTTCCTCTCTTGTTTGAGCTTTGGGTTTTTCTTGCTCTTGTTTTTCTAGGAGTCTAAGAGTCATCGTTAGGTTGTTTATTTGAGCTTGCTCTGTTTTCCTAATGTGGGCATTTATTGCTATGAATTTTCCATGTAGAACTGCTTTCATTGTGTCCCATAGATTCCTGTATGTTGTATTGGCATTTTCGTTTATTTGTAAAAACTGTCTGATTTCTTCTTTAATTTTCTCTGTGATCCATTGATTGTTCAGGAGAGTGTTGTTCAATTTCCATGTGTTTGTGAAGTTCCTGTGGTTTCTTATGCTATTGATCTCCAGCTTTACTGCACTGTGATCTGATAATATACAGGGAATAACTTCAATTCTTTTGTATTTATTCAAACCTGTTTTGTGAGCTAGTATGTGATCAATCTTGGAGAATGACCCATGTGCAGCTGAAAAGAATGTGTATTCTGATTTTGTGGAGTGGAACACTATAGACGTCTAATAAGTCCATATGTTAAAAAGCTTGGTTCAGTTCTAGTATTTCATTGTTTTTTTGCCTAGATGATCTGTCTATTTGTGATAGTGGGGTATTCAGATCCCCCACTACAATTGTATTAGTGGTTATTTGATTTTTCATGTTACTTAATATTTGTTGTATATAGTTGGGGGCATTTATATTTGGTGCATATATATTTATGATTGTCATTTCTTCCTCTTGGATTGTTCCTTTTACAAGGATGTAGTGGCCTTCTTTGTCTCTCTTAATCAGTTTTGGTTTGAAGTTTCCTTTGTCTGCAAATCAGATTGCTACCCCTGCTTTTTTCTGGGCTCCTGTCACATGGAGAATTGTTTTCCATCTTTGCACTTTCAGTCTATGGGCTTCTTTTCGCACTACGTGTGTTTCTTGTATACAGCATATTGTTGGATTTTGCTTCTTAATCCATTCTGACAATCTGTTTCTCTTGATTGGTGAATTGAGGCCATTGACATTAGTTATAAGTGATATATACTGACTTATTATTGTCCTTTTGTTGACTGTTTTTATTTTTTGTCCTCTCCTTTTAGTTTCTTGCCTTGGCTATTTTATTTGCTCTGTTGGGCCTCCTGGTGTTGTGATCTTCATTGTCTTTTTCTAGGATATTGTTTAAAATTCTTTGCAGTGCTGGTTTAGTATTCATGAAGTTTCTCAAGTGTTCTTTGTCATGGAAATATCTTATTTCTCCGTCCATTTTGAAAGAGAGTTTCGCAGGATACATCAGTCTTGGTTGTACGTTGTTTTCTTTTAGGACTTGAAATACCTCACTCCAGGCTCTCCTTGACCTGAGGGTTTGTGTTGAAAAATCTGCTTTGATTCTGATGGGCTTTCCTTTGCATGTGATTTGTTTCTTTTCTCTTACTGCTTGTAATATCTTGTTCTTCTGTTGCGTTTCTGGGATCTTGATTATTATATGTCTAGGTGTAGATTTTATGTGCTGGTTTAGTATTCATGAAGTTTCTCAAGTGTTCTTTGTCATGGAAATATCTTATTTCTCCGTCCATTTTGAAAGAGAGTTTCGCAGGATACATCAGTCTTGGTTGTACGTTGTTTTCTTTTAGGACTTGAAATACCTCACTCCAGGCTCTCCTTGACCTGAGGGTTTGTGTTGAAAAATCTGCTTTGATTCTGATGGGCTTTCCTTTGCATGTGATTTGTTTCTTTTCTCTTACTGCTTGTAATATCTTGTTCTTCTGTTGCGTTTCTGGGATCTTGATTATTATATGTCTAGGTGTAGATTTTATTTGATTGTGGCTAGTTGGTGTCCTATATGCCTCGCTTATCTGTATGTCTAATTCTTCCCCTCTGTTTGGGAAGTTTTCTGTCATTAATTCTTTGAACAGCTTTTTTAAGTCATTTACATTTTCTCCTGGTACTTCATGGATACCTATCAGTCTTATGTTATTCTTCTTTGCCTCATCTAGGAGTTGTTGGATCGATTTCTCATGCTCCCTTACTGTTTTTAAGAGACCTCTCTTTTCATGGTCACTGTCTGCTATCCTATTTTCTATCTCTGAGATTCTCTCTTCATAATCTTTTATTCTGTTGCCTACATTTTCAATTGAGTTTTAATCTCCTGGATATCTGTTTGAACCTGTTTAATGGATTCCATTTCTTTCCTATGTTGGGTGTTCATTGTTTCCATTTCTTTCTTATTCTGGGCCTTCATGGTTTCTATTATGTTCCTAAGCTCATCTATTTTTTGTCAGTTTCTGTTCTGAAGTCTTGAATCATATCTTTCATTTTGCTCACCATCTCTATGGTTGGTTATCTGGGAAATAATTTCTGTTTTGAATTTTTCTAGAGCTTGATTGATCAGTTTTTTTACTTACTGTGCTGTGAGTTCTGAGTGTCCTGGAGCTTCACTGTCAGACTTTTCATCCTCCTTTGCCCTACTGTTTGCCATTGATGGACTGGAAGTCTGTTTTTGTGGCTTGCTTAAGTGTTTTCTCATCTTTAGTTTTGCTGTTGGGTTGCCCTTGATTCAATCTCTGTGTCATTAAATCTTCCTGATATGGTTGTGTCCCAGTCTTTGATTCTCTAATGACTTATAGACATTCTTATTTTCATAATTGAAAAAACAACTCATCAAATCAACCCCTATCCTTTATCCCTATCGATCCAATCAGGAACATAATAGGATCAGTCACCACCCTTTATAGCCCGCCATGCCTCTGCAGAGTACATCCAAGGACTGGCTCAGTCAGGGGATCTAATGGGGGATCAAGGGGGCACGACAGTGTTCAGCGGCGCCCGTGTGGCTACCCTCCTGCCGCTGTGTCAGAGCCAATCACTGGCGCCCACTGGAAAAGGCGCGGCTCCAGAGGAGGTCCATAGTTCGGGCCAGGCCGTGCAGCACAGGTGGCTCTGAGTCCAAGCCCCTCATACTTATAATTTTAAATTTCAAACATACAGAATGCTGATAAAACACAATTTTTAAAAACTTTCATTTATATTTTTTTGAATTGACAATCATAAATATAGGGTACAGTTTGCTTTTTTATACATAGACGTGTAAGTAAATCATGGTAATCATATCCATTACCTATTTCTTGGGAACAAAGACGTTTGGAATCTCTTCTTGTATTATTAGCTTCAATCACCATTCTGTGCATTAGATGGCTAAAACTTACAGAACTTTGTATCTTTTGACCAACATTTCTGCTTTTCTTACCCCCTCAGTGGCCTGTGATGATCACTTTCTGTTCTCTACTTCTGTGAGCTCAATGACTTAGATTTCATGTGTAATATTTGTCTTTGTGTGTCTGGCTTATTTCACTTAGACATTGCACTTAAGGTCCATAAAGTCCAGGTTCATCCACATTATAGATGACAGGATTTCCTGAAAGAGGAAAAGTCTTACTCAGTTAGATTTAACAACTGTTAACATTTTGTCACATTTGCTTTGCTCTATGAACAGACATCATAATGCTTTACCCTTAGTTCTTCAATATGAGTTTTTAAAAGCAAGGATGTTACCCTAAAGAATGGCACTACCATTATCACACTTAGAAACATTAATTTCCTAGTGTCTGATACCCAGTCCATACACAAACCACCTCAGCTGTCTCCAGAATGACTTGGAGGATCCCATGAAGGAGTGAAACATTGTATTTGGCTTTTATATCTCTGTGGCCTTTTTAAGTCAGTAAGGCCCCCACCACTTTTGTTCTATGTTGCTATAACATTGACTTTGTAGAGAGTCCAGTCATATCCTTCTAGTTTTGAATTCAAATGTATAGGCATTCAAGTTTGATTTCAGCAGCAAAGGTTTTTCAAGGCTCTCCTCTTGGGCCCTGCAAACCCATGATGTATTCATTATTGGAGACAGGTCACACTGCTGCCTCCATGAGGTTGACTGTGCCCACGCTCCCAGCACTAGTGCCAGGCCCTTTCTAGGAGATGGGAGCTGAAGCTAGGTTCAGATCTCCCTACCCTTTACTTACTGAGTGACCTGCCCCTTGTCTCTTCTTTCCTAGCCTCAGTTCTTTTCTCTCCAAAAACAAATGGGTTTGACCAGGGGCCTCCTAGGTCTCATTCATCTTGGCTTTTGAACACCTCCGTGATTGGCCTCAGGCAGCACTAAGAATGGGAAGACTGGGGACACATGCACTTTCTGATGCTCTGATATGACCACATGCTCTTTTCTGCCTCCACAGCGGAGATCCTGGAGCTGGCTGGCAATGCAGCAAGAGACAATAAGAAGGGACGGGTCACACCTCGGCACATCCTGCTGGCTGTGGCCAATGATGAAGAGTTGAATCAGGTACAGAGCTCTCTCTTTCACCCCCAGACAGTGGAGCATTCTATCAGACTACCCAAGAAGCAGAACAATTTGCCAAGCTGTAGTGGTTGGCTGGCTGGCTGGCAAAAAGCATTTTGGACCATAAACAACTACACTACCTCCCTTGGCAGCTTTTCCTCAAGGCCTCACTGGGAGTTGGGGCAGAATGGGCTGAACAAGGTATTTGGCTCTCTCTGGAGGAATGATATGATACAAATTGCATTCCAGTTAGGGACTTGGAGAACTTGATCTCTGTGCAGTGGACCTGAGTCCTGCCAGCATGTTGTAGGTACTGTGGAGGCAGGAGCTATACCAACCAGAACCAAGAGCATGTACAGGCAGGGGTGACCTCTCGAAGGTCAGGATCAAGGCAGTCAAGCTGACTATCTGCTACTTTGGTTTTCCTACAAGCTGCTAAAAGGAGTGACCATAGCCAGTGGAGGAGTGTTACCGAACATTCACCCTGAGTTGCTAGCAAAGAAGCGAGGATCCAAAGGAAAATTGGAAGCCATCATCACACCACCCCCAGCCAAAAAGGCCAAGTCTCCATCCCAGAAGAAGCCTGTTTCTAAGAAAGCAGGAGGAAAGAAAGGGGCTCGAAAATCCAAGGTATGTGACCTGGCAAGGATATGTAGGATGGTCAGGGTGAGGTGCAGATAAATGGATCACAAGGGACCTCTGCACCCTCTTCCAGGGCTCATCCCACCAGTGGGCTGAGTGGGATGAGGAAAGAAGGTGTGGAGTTGGTCAGACAGACTAGTCCAGCTGAAGTGACCAATCAGGAGAGTCACCCTCAGCTTGGACATGTTGGAGGCCAGAACCCTCCATGGGTAAGGTAGATGGATGATGTGCCATGATAGCCCCAGGCTGGGTGGGCTAGCCTCTGTGCCATCCTCCCAAGGACATGCACATACCTGTGCTACAGGATAGTCAACATCCAGTCTTCAGAGGGGTTGGTGCATGGTACCCTGGTACCGAGTTGCAGAACTCACATTGTGCTGTCATGGCTGCATGTCATCCTTAGGGCATGCTCCAGTAGGAGCAGTACATTGTCTTCCTTTTAGAATAATAGCTTCTGTCAAGCAGGAAAATAGATGCATCATTTAGATGCTTCCTTCAGGGCCTAAGTTGGACTGAAGGCAAGGTTCTAGATGATTTTTTTTTGTGGTGAGGGCAACGCCCTCATCAGTGTGACCAATGACATGTTGGGTGAGCAAGGCCAGCACATCCCAAGTATTAGCCTCACAGCACAAGGGTGTAGCACCCTGCTCATCTATCTGAGCACCAACAAGAAACCACAGGTAATCGGAACCTCATGTTTTTTGTGACTCTGCTTCCTGGCCTTTCAGCTGTTGTGACAGTCTTTGGTGCCAACAAGGAAGGGACCATGTAATTATAGCCTGGTCTTTGAAGGTTGCCTTTCCCTGAGGCACCCCCTAAGCATTCTTCCTTCTGGTCACCAACTAGGAGGACATTGCTGTGGCAGGAGATGACCTTTCTGTCTTGTAAGAAGTCCTTGAAGGGCCTTGTGGGTTCTGATGATGCAGCATCTGGAAGTTCTTCCTATACGAACCCAGATCTGCCTCCCTCGTTCTCTGGCTGGGATAGTGGGGATACCTTCTGAGGTGACCATGACCAACTGAACTGAGGTCCTTCCAGCAGCCCCTCCTTAGAGCCTGGCTTTCATTCCAGGTGGGGAAAACTTCTTTGACATCTCACCTTTTCCCTCTGTTCACACTTCTTTAATTAAGGTGGAAGAGGTTGTATATCCTTGCATGGCTGCCTGGGTGCAAAAAAAGATTCTGCTGGAAATAAAATCTAAATTCCTTTTGCCAACACACCATCCACCCCAGGCACAGAATCTCTCCCAGCTCTTTCAGAAAGAAACCTGATCTTGAAGAGCTGCCCCTGTGTTATTTCCAGACACACTTGCATTTTAGCCCACTCACAGGTCCTGGAGGAGGCTGGGGCAACCAGGCAGGGACTTCACAGAATACTCCATTACTCATTCCTGCTAACTATAAAATTAGCAGATTGAACTGTTCCTTTCCCCCTTCCAACATTTACAGTTGGGAGAGGGACAGAGCAGGGAGGGTGGGGCAAAGTGCTAGTGCAACCTTTTATTTTTATTTTTCTATTTTAAAATAAATTTTATTTTATCTCACTCCCCCGTTTAGCCCCCCCCTATGTACAGACGCTTTGTTTCCATTTTTCCTTCTATTTTTCCTTTCTTTTTCTTTTTCTTTTTAGCTTTAATTGAGTTTATTGGTACATTTTATGGATACAGTACAGTTACATTCATTGTTGGGATCTTGTACCTCTACATGACAAGTCTTGGTTCTCATTTTTTCCCCTTACCCCTGCCCTCCCTTCACCCCCTCCTCCCCTCCCCATCTACAAACACTTTATTTCCATCTTTTCATTATCTCACATTTTTTTCTTTTCCCTTATTACCCTTCCCCTACCCATCCCACCTACTTTCTTTTTCTTGTCCCTTCCTTCACAAAGACAGAGATGCCAAACCTATAATCTCTTGAAAATAGACTTTTAGGGGCCTGTCTGTTCATAAAGTGAGGGCTGAGTCCTTTGTGCTTAGCGCTAGAGACCAGCAGGGGCAGAACTGTGCTTTTGGCTTGGTTCTTCCTTTGGCTATGTCCCAAGCCACTGCCTTCTTTCAGGCACGCACTGTCTGTGATATTTGAGCACATCTGTGAGACACCAGCATACCAGCAACCCAGGCTGAGCCTTGTTCCCTGGTGACCTTAGTCTTTCCCTTGTAGATTTTGCGCTATGACTTTCTGAACTTTCCAATTTGCCTTTCCTTTTGGACTTGAAATATAGGGAGTATATGTCTTTAACTCCTAGTAGCTATATTTGGAACTCGGTGTTTCTAATAACCATATGCCAATAATCACTTGAACACTCAACTTTTTCCTTGATTGCAAAAGCAGGAAGTCTGTGATGGTGGTCTGTTTTTCTTCCACACAATAAAACACATTGTCTGCTTACTGTATGAGTATTTGGCTAACATTAAACCCTAGGGGAAGCTGAAATTGGAACTGTGAACAGCTAATTTTCAAAACATTTGTTTAATGTAAATTGTGATGTCAGCTCCCAGAAACAGCAGAGAACCCTACATCTCCAGGTTTAAATGGAGCATTCTGAAAATAACCTTTTCAGGGACATGCAGGGAAAGCCTTAGTAACATGCTAAAGCACTTGTAGTAAAAGGGAGTTGGTATTTTTCAAGTGTCAACACTGGAATTCCAAATCATTCCCACCCCCAATTCTGTATAATTTGAAGGTATTGAAAATCTTGTTGTAACAGCTGAGTCAGCTGTGGTGGAAAAGGTTAGAGAAGGCAACAAACCCTTCAGGGGTTTGAGGGTCTGAGAGTCCAGAGTCCTGGATGTGCCCTTCTTCCTACTTGGGTGGCCTTAGGTAAGTCTGTTCCCATCTCTGTGCCTAAGTCTACCCCAACCCCATAAAATAATAGGGTTCATTCCAGCCTTAGAATTCAGTGGCTATGCACATTGCATAATGTTTTTATATAGGTAATGTGGTTAAGAGTTTTGACAGTACAAAAGAGTATACACTAAATAACTTCTTGTTCCCATCACAGTCTCTGTATTGAATTTTTATGCATCTTTTAAAGTCTATGAATATAGATATGCAAATCTCTCTCCATCTCACCTATTTAAAAATATATTAATCATGTGACCTACTGATTTGGCAATATAGCAAAATAGCTAAAAGTAGAAGCTTTGGGGCCTGCCTCCTGGCATTGTATTTCAGTTTTGCCATTTTCTAGCTTATGATCTTGGCAAGTTACTTCTCTGGTGTTCACTTTCCTCGTCTGTAGAATGGAGCTATTACACATGGTGGTTGTCTTAAGAGAATTCCTATAAAGTGCTTAGAATAATGTCTGACAGTGGTAGCTATTACTGCTCTTACTTCTTCCATATTTCTGCATGTATCACTGCTGTAGTACTTCATAGGCTGCTTTGTAGTCATATCCATAGAGTGAGAAACCCACATAACCAGTCCTCTAAGAATGAACTTTGAGATTGTTTTTGTTCTTCATTCTGACAAATAGTGCCAGAGTGACTCATTGTATGTGGGTCTCTGGGTTCATATGCAAGTATATCTATACGATAAGGTCTTCAAAGTGAATTTGCTCGACAGAGTGAGTGTATTTTTAACCTTGAGGCCTGTAATTCACTTATAGGGTATTTAACTCCATTGATAAATTTCAAATACCACCTTATTTTAACTTGCGATACTGAATTGCTTAAAGAAGAAAACACTCATGTGACAAGTATTTGAATCCATATACACTACTGCATCAGTAGAGTAGAGGCGGTTTGGCAGTGAACACAAAGTACTGGCCCTCCCCAAGTTCTCAGTGAGGAGCAGATACATTATAGGTGGGAGAGAGTAACTTCTGCAACAAATATGAATGCGTGTGCTGGCAAAGGCAGTAGTCAAGTGAGACTATCTTGTAAAGTGACACGTGAGCAGAGATCTGACAGAGTAAGGTACTGGATTTTTCAAGTGTCTGGGAGAAGAGGGCTTCTGTCAGAAGACTGGCAAATGGCCTTGAAGTGGGAACATGCCTGGTTCTTCTCAGAACTCAACAGGCCTTGCCTATGGAGTCCCTAATATTTCTGTAGCATAGTCACCTTTGGCAGTGGGGGATGTCGGGGAGCTCTTCTCAATATAAGGTTTTCAGATGCATATAATAAACTATCTAAGGCTCAGGGAAACAATTACACCTAAATCCCTGGGGTTAAGACCCCAACAGAGTGTTTACTAAGAAACATAGGATAATCTTTAGGGAATCTCTAAGCAGAATTTTTGCCAACAATTTGGACAAAAAATGACCTGGGGGTTTTCAAACAACCCTGTAGCATCCCTAAGCCTTACCCATCCCTGTGTGAGCACCACCCCTCATAGGTCATAAAAATATGCTTGCTTCTTACTGCCTGGTTAAAAACCCAGGATAATTTTGGTAGAGCATCTCTATTCTGAGGAATAAACATTTAAGTTGCATATTGATCAGTGTTCTGGCAGGGAATGCCAAAGAAAGGAATTGGTTTTCTTGAGAAAATGTCATCCTGACAAAAATTCTGCTGGCCTTTTAATGAAGCTTCACATGATTTAGACATCTGCATAGGCAAGGCATAGGTTAACTTGGGTTGACAATTGCACGTAAGTCATTTCTGGACACTCAGTTCAACAGATCCTTTTGCAGGCTGATTCTGCCCTGCTAGATTTTTTACTGCTCGAAAAAAAGCTGGATGCATGTATAATATGGGGTACTTCTGCATTTATACAAGAATATAAAATTCTAAAAATCCAATTGATTTGGAATTTGATGAGCTGGAATGAGACAAAGAATCTACTACCTAATATCACTCCATAAAACAAAGGACATTTTAATGCCCAAATGGTAGAAAGGGACATAAATTCAAACAATGGGCTTTATGGAAAACTTAGACACTGTTATGATTTGAATGCAGTAGTGTCTTACAGGACAAGTGTGCTGAGCTTAATTATCCCTAATACTCCATGGGATAGGAATCTTGAACAGAGGAGATGGAAGTTCTTTGCAAGTAGATAGGCTGCAGAGTACCAAGATCAAACAGCTTGTTTTCTCTCTACAATGCTTTATAGTACTGCCTTCACTGTCACAGCCACATATGTAATCAGTTCCTCAGTCTTTGCGGGTAGGGGAGGGTTGAGACGGGATCTCACTAAAAGTTCAGGCAGTCCTTGAACTCTCTATGTAGCCCAGGCTGGCCTCAAACTCAGAGCAATCCTCCTGCCTTGGCCTCTGGAGAGCTGGAATCACAGGTATGTGCCACCACACCCAGCTTAGTTCCCCGGTCTTAATATCATTTTCCAAATGAGAATCTAAGGATTAGGAAAGGTGAAAATTTTTCCTAACATCATACAGCTGGCAGAGCCAGCATTCAAATGCAGAACTTCAGAGTTCAAACATATCACTTGTATGTCCTATGACCATGAACCACTTCCTTGTCAGAAGCCCCTGTGTTCTTCGGGTGAGTGGGCCAATAGCTTTAGTGAACTACTGCTGAGAACTACCAGCATCACTGCAGTTTAAACCTAAGAACTTGCTGCATAAGTGGTTGCTGGATTGTATTGGGCACAGGATTCTTGAATGCCTCCTTGTTGCCACTTTGACAGCTCTGACTGCCTGATTGCTGAAACCCTATGAGCTAGGCGTAGCGGTAGCAAACCTATGGCATGCATGCAGTGGCAGGCTTTATCATTGAAAACTGTAAAAGGTTTGCCATCATTGAGGGCTTTCTTATTAAAAGCACTAAATTCTTAATCTGCTTATTCCCTGGTGGGTACACATTCATCACATTCCTGAAAAAATACTGAGCACCTCCTGGTTTTGTTTTTATTGTTGTTGTTTTGTGGCATCAGGGTTCTAACTCAGGACTTGCACTTGACAGGCAGGCACGGTGCCACTGAGCTACATCGCTGGCCCCTGAGCACCTCCTGTATGCAGGGTGATGCACTGCACAGAGTAGAGCAGTGGTTTGCTTGGGTACCTCCTAAAAGAATTTTTAAAAATTCTTGTATCATACACATTTAAGAAAAGGATAAAAATTTTGGTAGGCTGTAATTATTAACACTTGAAACACTTTTCTTATCTATTTAAATGTATCCAATGAAATCTAAACACTGACTTGATACACATCATCCATTTAACTAATACACAAAAATTGTTTTTGATAGTTGGAACATTTATATTCTTTCTATATTATATCATTTGTACCACACTTATTCTACTGTAGTACATTCTTATAGCATTTTATTAATTTCTGCTACAAAAATAATGTATATAAATTCCAGTTTATTAAAAAATTTATTATGACCTTTTATAAAAGCACTAAATGATATGGATTCCACAGGATTAGATATTTAAGAATACACACTTTAGCCAGGCGTGGTGGTGCACACCTAATCCCAGCATAACATTTATATTCTTTCTATATTATATCATTTGTACCACACTTATTCTACTGTAGTACATTCTTATAGCATTTTATTAATTTCTGCTACAAAAATAATGTATATAAATTCCAGTTTATTAAAAAATTTATTATGACCTTTTATAAAAGCACTAAATGATATGGATTCCACAGGATTAGATATTTAAGAATACACACTTTAGCCAGGCGTGGTGGTGCACACCTGTAATCCCAGCACTCAGGAGGCTGAGGCAAGAGGATCGCTGTGAGTTCGAGACCAGCCTGTGCTACATAGTGAGTTCCAGGTCAGTCTCAACTACATAGTTAGACCCTGTCTCAAAAAAAAAAAAAAATACACACTTGATCAGATATCAACAAATGGATTACAAATTTAGGAGAAAGTAAATTTTTTATTAATAAAAGTGTTTTGGGGTGGGTAGGGATTATATTTTTCTCAGTTTAGTATTTTAAGATGATTGTACTTTTTAGCTAAAGTGAGACAAGTTAAGCATTCTATTTATAGATAAAGTGCCTGGAATATCTATCTGTTCATTAAAGTAATTAAATGCCAATGTACAAAGTTTTTTGTTATGACAACACTCCTCAGTCCCATGTACTCTGATATATGCCAATATTCATACAGCAATTTTTCATTAATTTGACAAACATTTTATAGTAGTTTTTAGATTTATAGAAGGATTATAGAGATAGTGCAGAGAGTTCTTAAATATCTTTCACCCAATTTCCCTGTTAACATTTTACAAATGATGGTACATATAGTTACAACTAAGCATTGATACTTTACTATTAACTAAACTTTATCAATCTGTTTTTCTGTGGTCTCTCAGATATTAACTCAATTAGATATTTCTTCTGGTTAGAAAATGAAGATTTAAAAATACTTGAGTGTGCAAGGCTGACTTAGCCAACATTTCCCTTTCTTGGTTCCTGGAAAATTTATCAAGGAAAGCTTACTAAGGTCTTCCATGAATTCTTGTTTTATTTGTTTCTCTTTTATGATGTCAGAATCGTTACACTGAAAGTATTAGGGAATAAAAATAGTGATAATCTTAATGTATCTTTGCCAGTATGTTTCTTGGTAAAATGCTTTTTCTCTTATTTATATCAAAAACCTGAACCCTCAGATTTAGTAGCTTGTTTATAGAAAATTAGCAAAGCAGTCCTTATTGTTAAGACAATCATCAGATTAGATACTATTTTTCCATGTAAGTAAAACTGTTAATATGCTAATGTTAATGAATTTGAATACTAATGAGGCAAGTAGGAAGTGCACAGGTCTTGCTCTGAATTTATTGTCCTGGCTTACTTTCCAGGAAGGCATGGACATCTATATTAATATACTCCTTCTTTCTTAATTTGTTTCCACTGGGCCCCCTGCACAGGAGTAATGTACTTTTTGATAATTGGGGGGGATGAAGTATCTAAACAAAAAAATCACCATTGTTCCCATTATCCTCCCTCTACAGTATATCTGAATGCACAACATCCCCAAATGAGCCAAATATCCACTTGTTGTAATGCAGGTTTCATCTTTAACAGAAATATGCACAGGCCCCTCCTGAAAGTGTTGGGCACTACCAGTGTTCACTCTGTGATGTGGAAACAGGGTGGCTATGGAGGGATCCCAGCCTGCTTCCAGCACCCCATTAGGTGTAGGAGAAAACACTTGAAAAAGATAAGGGTCTGGAGATTGGTTTATTTAAAATTTCCAGTGCCATGTGCACCCCCCACCCAAGGCCAACTTTAAGGCACATGTGTGTGTGTCTGAATATCTGACAGTGGGGAGAAATCTGAACAGCATGCCAAGACCCATGCCACTTTGGGGTGGGAACACCAACAACCACCATGTACATCTTCTCCACAGCTGCATTTATGAAGGAAAATGGACAAGGACCTCTCCCAGGTGGTGAAGATTGGAGGATTGGGTCCTTGGTTTCTTTTCTTTTCTTTTGGTACCGGGGATTGAACTCGGGTCCTTGCGCTTGCAAGGCAGGCCACCGAACCGCTGAGCTAAATCCCTGGCCCAGAAGGTTTTTTTTTCTTGAACTTGAATGATGTGCAGTTATCTTGAAAGATATTTACTTGGTTTGAATTTATGAAAATGGCTCTGTTCTAAATCAGAGCTGGTTGTACTTTAGCTTCCCATATTCTTTTGAGTATCATGGGAAAGGCCTGCAAGCTGCCTCCTTGTTAACCAAGCCCAGCCTTATGTGGCTTCTGCCCATGCAGCCGACATTCTGACTCTTCTATTTATCCAAGAAGAAACAGGGAGAAGTCAGCAAGGCAGCCAGTGCTGATAGCACAACAGAGGGAACACCAGCAGATGGCTTCACAGTCCTCTCCACCAAGAGCCTCTTCCTTGGCCAGAAGGTAAGCAGATAACTTCAGCCCACTCCAGAGCCTTGGGAGGGACTGAAAGGGGGGAGTGTCCTGGGGGTCACTCCTGGCCCAATGTGTGGACAGAGCATCAGGGGACTTTTGGAATGGCCCTAGAGAGGGCAGAGTAGTAAAGAATAGATAGTGCTAAAGAAGGCCAGAGGCTCCCATGGGGGATGAGTACCTTTGGGGCTGGGGAAGCAGCCATTTGTGTGGGATAACCAGGTCATCAGATAGCACAAGTTGTGCAAGAGGAAGGATCTAGCTGGCAGCCCCCCTATTCCGATGGGCATTGAAGGTAGAGCCCCCAGATCTGGTCCCCAGGGATTGGGATTGTTTTCAAGTATATTAATGGGTACACCAGGGGTTTCTTCAGTGAACTACCAGATGACTCTTTAAGCCAATTGTTTGTTTGTTTTTAACCATGGGCAATATATTTTCAGCCATCCCAGTGATGCAACTTTGCCAGGACACCATGGTTTTGTAAAAGATGATTCACTTTTATTGAAAATAAAAATGATGCAAAAGCTTTTAAGTTGAGAGTTAATATTTCTTTATTAACACCAAAAAAATGGGGATGAGGAGAAAGACAATTAAGTTTAATTTTTTATTCTAATTTTAAAAATGAAAAGACTGAATTTGACCTTCCATGTAAATTTGTTTAGTTTGAAGATGATAGCAATATGATTCAGAAGCTGCATCATTTTTAGCTCCTCACTATCAATTTTCTTTTGCATCACAGTGACATGATTCTCTTGCTCACACCATCGAAAGTTTCCCCCAAGCCCTCCCGCTTCCTGTCACTAATTGCACTCAGTCTCTTATGATGCAATTCCTGTGGTGACTGTGTTCCAGAATCTAACCATCGCTGTTTACATTTTGTAACCATTATCTGTATTTCATGTGCAGTTTTCTATATGACAAAAAGCAGCTCTAGTTGTCATCTTAAGGTCTGGGGCTCTGAAAGGTTTTTTTTTTTCTAAATTAAAAAAATTCAACCTAGCAGTGAAGGCAACCACATGAGTCTACTTTCACATCTTTAACATGTCCTACAGGTGGTAGAATGGAAGTTAGAGTACCTGTCATCCAAATTGCTTCTGTTGCATCTGAAAAACTCCCACCACTTAGGACTATCTTCCATGTTCCAAATCCCTAATATGAGCCATAGACAAGAAGATTGCAAATATGAGCTCAACCTTGGAAATTTAGTGACTCAAACCCTGTTTCAAAGTAAAAGAAAAAAATTTTTAATGAAAAAAATTGTTAAAAAACAGGAGTTGGGGACATAGCTCAGTGGGAAGGCCAGTTCAATTCCCAGAAATGAAGAAAATCTCTAACACTCATTCACCAGGACTTGGAGGCCTATTAAGCAGGTAGGACAGTTAAGCCCCTGGGCCACTTTTATTCCTGCCCCCAGATTCCCTTGGGCACCTTGGCCTGGCCTCTCCCCTCCTTGTGTTCTGGCTTCCTCCAGCTGGCAACCCAGAGCCACCCTCAGATCAGAACTCACACTCCATGGTTGGGTGCACTTGCATAGTTTCAAATATTAGCACTGGGGTATACAAATGCCCATGTACAAACATACCTTTCCTGTTATGCTGCACTTCTTAAAAATGGGATCAGGTCAGTGTCTGGACTATGTGGTTGGGAGCCCTACTAAAGGATGCTGGCACCTTGCTGGCTTCTACAGTTTTCCTTCCTATTAGGCATTCCTGTCTCAGGCCACTTGACAGGCTAATGTTGACTATACTCGACTCAGGGTTGCGTGAGAGAGTCCAAAACTCCATGGAAAAGTATTGACAATAATTTACAGATATATCACCTAATGAGAATGAAAGCAGTGGGATGGACAGGCAACTAATGTGCCTGTTGAGTAGCTTGGCTTTTATTGAGGATTGGTTGGGCTGCAGCCAGTGGAAGGTGGTCAGCTATTAGAGAGTGAGCTGAGTGCTGACCCAGATATTCCAGCCAGCCTTCTGTCCTATCTTGCATTCTGTCCTCCTTGCTACCATGAAACTGCCCTTCCTGTTAAATGTGCTTGTGGCATAATGAGCCAGGACTCATGCACCCAGGAAGAAGTTCCCACTTCTCAGAGGAAACTACTTCCCCAGTGTAGCTTCACAGAATAAAGAATTTCAAGGCAGCCTAGATTAGAAGCTGAGTGCTATTGTCCTTTCTGGAACCCTGTACCCTGCAATGTGAGATGGAGTGAGCATTTATATTTCAGAGCATTATTTTGAAATAGTACCTTGAGGCCCTTTATTGGCTATTAATGTCAGGTGAAAAGCATAGCATATAGTGCAAAGCAGGTAAGCATCATAAAATGACATAAAATCGTACACAAAAGTATATTTAAAAGACATTAATTTTGATTTGGATTTTAGGAAATGTTTCAAAAAAGGGACATTAGAATGATGACTGTATGGTACCCTGTGCTCTATGAATCCTACTTATCCGTCCGGGACAAGGAAACCTGTGCTTGAATATTGCAAGCAAGCTGGGCTGGAGAAAGGTGATATTGTGCTTTCTATGGCCCTGTAAGGCATGGTTGCTAAGCTACTCACAGGAGGAAATGGCAAGGGCTTAGGAGCCTATGATCTAATTGTTGTTGTTAATGATGTATTTCACAGGCTGTAGCCTCAAGACTAATCACGCTCATTGCTGTATGATTTTACCTAATATTCACACACATCACTGAATTGTTTTTAAAAAGAAAACAGTGCTGTGAATCTGAATCAACTTAAATGTTTTTGCTTTGAGGTTCAATGAAGATTTTCAGCCTTTTTTTCAGAAGTTTTAAAACCTGATGGCTTTATTTTTTAAAAAAACCACTTCCAATGTGTATATCTATAAATCTTTGTCAATGGTAGTAAATGATTTAGGTTTCTTGGTGAAGTCAGTGTTCTTTGAAGCAATTAGGAAGGCAGTCTGAGAGTCTAGATGCATCTCCCTGTCTCCCATATGGTCAAGATCCTGGCCCCAGCACCAGAGACCATTAGAGACAGGCAGGTGTGGGGCACTGGAGTGTTGTCCCCATTCCCCTGAGGCTGGGACACACTGAGCTAAAAGAGCTCTGAAGCAGCAATTTGGGAGGAGTCATTCACCTACCTCTTCACTACTCGCGTCTGAGGCAGATCCAGGAGAGTGTTAGAGCCAAATAGAACAGCTCAGCTGCTGGCTTCCTGCAGTGCCCTTACATATTTTTATCTTTCTGAGTCACTTTCTAGCCAGCAATCTAACTTGGGCCCCTGCCAGATCCAGGACTTGTGTAGGAATTCAGGCTGGGGATGCATGCAGGTTACACAACATAGCACAGATGTGAGGGCAGTAGTGAGCCCAAGTGAACCCCAGGGAAAACATGGTACATGAGAAATCTACAAGGGTTTCTGTGGAAGACACCTCCCTTTTCTTCTCCATTAGTAGAAGTAGACATGAAGCAGGAAAATTACATTCTAGAAGCTAGCACAGGGAATGAGGCCAGCCAGCCTTATTTATTTGTCCTTTATGAGGGACCCCAAAATTTAAGAATTATAGTCAGACCTAACATATCACTTAGATAAGCTTTTACAGTCACTTGCATTTCCTAAAATTGAATTTGTCAGTTTTTTTTTTGTTTGTTTGTTTTTTTAAGGCTTGTACTATTTCCATTAGCCAAGTAGGTCAGGTCAAGGCAGGTTACATGTCCATTCAGTAGCTCCAGGCTACTGGTTTCTTCCCTGTCACTGGTGACAAACTGCCTCCTGACCTGCCCTCCATGGTGGGTGCCAGCTTCCTGGCCAGGTAAGGCTAAGTTGGCAATGAGCCACCCAAATCCAAGCCAGGCCCAGGACCTAGCTTCTGAGCTCTGGCACTTCCATTTGCCCTGCTAGAAGTGATACTCATTTCATCTCAGAGCTATATCTGAGGATATTTTATGTTCATTGTTAATGTGAACATAACCGCTAGAAGAAAGGCTTGGGTATAGCAGACATCAGAGACTTGCCACAACCAAACCACTTGAGAGTAAATGATCAGCTCTGGTGGTAGAAAAAATCTTGACATTTTCTGGGCTAAGTCCCTTTCTCCCAACTCTACACCAGAGGGTTGCCCTTCTACTCTATTTAGCATTCCCTGTGGTCACTGTCTCCAGTGCCCAACAGCCTTTATACCTGCTTTAAATTAAAATTTTCTACCTTTCCAAATAATGAGACAAAGAAGTAATCACCTTATTCAAATGCTGAAACCACTAATGATAGTCCTTTCTGGCAAATCAGACTATTCTTGGGAGTTTTTACAGTTACCCATCAACCCGACTGTGATCTGCAAATGCCTCTGCCATGTGATCCTCTGCCATATTCTTCATGGGACCAGATGTCCTTTGGCTGAGAGGAGGCTTCCTATGACTTGGCATTTGTCTTGTCCCTATCACTCCTATTCATGTGTGACCAGCTGGACTGTAGGATCCTTTCCAGACTTGTGTATATGTGGCCTGTGGCCTATTTGCACCTTGTGCTCACAGGTTTTCTTTTCTGTCTAGGACGATTAACTGTTGATCATTTTACTTTTTGCCTCTGCTCATAGGTCCACCCTTCCTAAGCCAAGTAAATTACCTATCTCTTTCCAAAGGGCCTGAATCAATTTATCATCTTCTTTCCCCAGCCCCTTGCCCATCCCAAATGTGCTTTCTGGTTCAGAGGATTAAAAAAAAAATTACACATTTACATATTTTATAGCAGCAAAACTATTTTGTAGCACAGCCCCACAATTTAAAAACGTCATCTGAGCCCTGGCACATAACATAGTTGGATAATCTCAACTCTAGCCTTCATCTTCACATGTAGGTGAGAGGGTAAAACAGCACTTGATTGGCTAGAAATTACCAGTGCTGAGGAGTAATGGCTGCCTAAGGTGTGGTAGTCTGCTTCTAAGAGTGGGGCTGCCTTTGGTCAGAAGGGAAGGCATTGAGTCTAGAAAGAGCTGGGATTTTTCAAGAAACTGAGTTTTTGTTTTTGTTTTTGTTTTTTCTTCAACTACCATTTAATGGGCAGCTACATCACAGGCACTGGAAGAAACAAACAAATGGATGACTTTCAGATCAATTTAGAAAATGGACACACACACAGATGGTGCAGTATAGGTAGTTTCCAAGGTTAATGACATGCAAATTGTAGTGAGTGGTAACTGATCTGAATCTTGAAGGACAGGAAGAGTTAGCCAGTATTCTAGAGTCAGAACATGGCATGTGCTGCTCTGGGAGTAAGTAGGTACAGGGAGCCCAGGATGGTGCAGCTCCTGGTGAATTTCTAAGTGGACATTGATTATACATTTTAAAAGAGCATTTCTGTGTGGTAAGTTTGTATTTTATAAATCTTTCAGATGGGAGAGTACATTTAGCTAGACTTAAACACATAATTCTGCTTTAGTAACATAATTTTGTAATTACCTATTTTTCTTGATGTGAACATTAGTTATGGTTTTAAAAGAATGTAATAATACTATTAATGAAAAATTGTATTTAACATCATATAAAATACTGTATTTGTAATATAATACAGTAATTATTTTTTTATTTGAATTTATTGGTACATTCTAGGTATACAGTACAGTTTCATTCATTACTGGGATCTTGTACCTTTACATAACAGGTCTTTATTTGTAGCTATTTCTCATTGCATCAAAGCCAGGACACAGGTCCCCCCCGCAAGCAAGAATCCATTCTCCTGGACAGAGGAGTGGTTCCCCCAAGTAGAGTCAGAGGAAAGCCACTGGGGGTGTTCCTGTCTAGTTGAATCAGGGCCCATAAAATAGCTGTATTTTCAATAAGGTACATAGCTGAGTATAAATTCCAAAAATCTGCAATTGAGGGAAAAAACAAAACATATATGGTTTTTTCAACAAAAAAGGAATCCTGTAGATGTATACTGAAATGTGTACTGACCACACAAGCATTTCTTTCTTTGTTCCTCTTTGCCTTCCTCACCAACTTCCTGCCTCTTCACATAGTTATGGGGCTTTTCTTTTTTTCTTTTTTTTTTTTTTGGTGGCGGGGGGGGGGAGGCAGGGACTATCAGCTTAGTTTGAGTCTTTATAAACAGCATTGGCTTGGAGTACAGTGTAATACTAAACAATACAGTCAAACCCTTCACCTTGTTGCAAATCCTGAGCACTCACTTGGCTTACTTACCCTAAGGCCCCCAGGCATGCCCACACACACAACCCTTCTCCCTGATGATGATAGTCAGGACCTGGCCTTGTGTTGGTTGGCTCTTTTCTGTGCTTTTGTCCTGGCATCAGGGCCCTGAGCTTCTGGCAGCCTCACTCTGAGATCCCCAATGGGCTTCCTTCAGCTTTGGGGATGTAAGTAGCCCTTAAATCACTCTGCAGTGCTAGGACCTAAAACCCAGAAAGTCTGAATGTAGAAAACTGGTTCCTCTTCTGAGTTTTAAACTAAACATGAGGCCTACCTCCCTGTGGCAAGGCCTGGCCAGAGTCCTTGGCTGTATGACCAAATTTATTTCTACAACTGCTTTCTCCCAAAGAATGACTTTTAGTTTAAGCAGGCCCCTCTTTTGAGAATATAGACTCTTATAACAATCAGATATGTGGGTTTAAATTTCTCATGATTCTAGTGTATCAGATTTTTTTGTTTGATTTTCTTTTTAGCAAAATATTTGGCCCCAGAAATTAAGCGACTTGGAGCTCATTTGCCAGGACCCTGCCTGCCCAGTTGCTGTACACAACTTCTTTAAGAGGACTCCTGCTCTATGGGCCACAGTCACTCTCCCAGCCTGAATGATACTGGGTTTGGGGTCCCAGTTCCTTTGGGGGCTGCTTAGGTGTTGCACTGCTACAGCTATTAGGAATGTATGTCACTGAAGGATGAACAACTTCATTAAGAGTGTGCACATGCAGGCACTGGGACATTAAGAAAAGGAAGAGTCATGGCCAAGACAGCAAAATCCAGAACTCCTCTCTTGCTTAGAGGAGAGGGTTGCCATGACAACAGAGGAACAGCTGGGAGAGGACAGTCATCTTTGCAGAAGCAGCCCGATGTTTGAGTACATAAAGAACAGAATTTAAGCAAAGTGCTCATAAGCTCATTGAGTCTCAGCCTAACTTGACAGTGAGGTGAAAACTGTTTCAAAGATACACTGTCTTTCTGAAAAATTGCTGTTTTCTTCCTGGGTTTTCCCAGAACTTCAGCACAAATTAATCTGACTAGTGGGCACATAAAATTAGATGTTAGTAAGCAACAGACAATTCCCAATACTTATTACCCTGACCAGAGCAGGGGAGTCAGCCAGCCAGCAATCACAGTGATGAGAACAGCCTTAAAAACCTACAGCCACTTGGAAGACAGGGGCAGAGCTACTAGAGCTACTACCCAAGTCAGGTAGGACGTCTGCCTTACCCTAGTGCTCAAGGATGAAGACAGTCAACATATACCACCACTGCCCCTCCATACTGAACTTTGACAGCAGCTTTACTTCGGTCTCAGGTCACAAGTTTTCTAAAGGAAAGCTGATCCCTGAGTCCAGCGTGGCTTGTGCTTCCCTTTTGCCCTAAGCATAACCCCACAGGTTCTGAACACTGCCTAGCTTACTTCCTTTCAGCACCCCATGCAGCACTGGAATCTTCTGCTTGAAATGGATTCATGTTAGCCAGCAGCTCCCTAGTTCCATCTGCCTAGTGCACTGTAAGTGCCTACTGCCCTCACCCATGTCCAGGGCATACTTCTCTGCAAAGTGCCGGCTCTCCTGTTATTTCCCACCTCATGCTTTTCTTTTCAGCTGAACCTTATTCACAGTGAAATCAGTAATTTAGCCGGCTTTGAGGTGGAGGCCATAATCAATCCTACCAATGCTGACATTGACCTTAAAGATGACCTAGGTAATTGGGGATGGGGTTCGGCACCACCAGCTGTCAGATGAAAAGTTATGGAACCCAGAATTTAGGCTTTCATCTATGCAGATTTCAGAATGGTCAAGGCAAATTCACAAATCCATGACTGATGTTTGGGGTAGGTGAATATTTACTTCAAGCAACTCCAAATGGAAATAGTCTGATATATTTCATTGAGTACGATTGGCCACTTTCCTCTCGATTTCAAAATATTACCATCTAAATTCTCTTCCATAATGATCAAACTGACTGCTGGTTACTTGGGGGGAATTTTAAAACATGTGGTTTTTGTTTTCTCTATTTTTTACTGAAAAATAATCAGGTAACTACAAAATGATAGTTTCTCCATTTAGGCCTTTATTAGGAATGACAAAGCTTGAGAAGAAAGACAAGCTGCACTAATACTATTGAGAAGTCTTTCATCCATAAGTAGATTGGTTTGCCCTAGACTGATCACCCAATGTCATTTCTACACTCTTCTACAGTGAAGACAGTAGAAGACTGAATGTCACCTTTATGGATGATATGAAACAGCAGAGCCGTCTAAGTGTGTTCCTAGAGAGGAAACTCTGCCTTCCAGCCATGATGGCATTCAGTCCCTACTCAGGAGGGCAGCCAGTTCAGAATAAGCTGAGAGATGCCCTTCAGGTATCCCACCTCTGTGGTTTCATCTTTTCATATGAGCTATCAGATCATGGCACAGTGACGACTCTAGTCCTCTTAGGAGCAGAGCCTTGCCCAGGGACAAAATATGCAGATACTCACAGGCACCATTATCCCTAACACTGACCATAGCATATCTCGTGTGCCTTTAGTGCCCAGCTTTGGTCACTTTTGTAAGACAGCATATGTCCTTAGTGGGAGAGTTGCTTATTTCCAGAGGCTGGGCCCATCTCATATAAACTGAATAAACAGCTAAAGATATAGGACATGGGGCTCAAATGCCCTCCTTGGACTTGGTTTCTAACTGCCTTACAAAGATGCTTTAAAAAAGTCACAAGCTAAAAAAAAAAGCAAAGATACTGTCCAAAGTACTTTTTACTAATGAAATACATGAAAGATTTTATTAAGAGTAAGAGTCAGGCCTGGGAAAGTATTTGTGTCTACTGAGGGGAAAAAAGGCAATCCAATGTATAGTTTTCTTGGTTTCAACAGTGTCTCTCAAAGGTAGACAAAATGGTGACTGCTATAATAGAAATCAAAATCCTGCAAATTGACTACGATAGACTAAATGGAGAAACATGTTATTTTGGTTGGCCTGATGGTCTACATTTTTTTAAAAGCAGATGCCGTGTTTTAGTAGCCTTCTCAGTGGGGTGCCAGTTTTATAGGCTTTTGCGAAGTGAAATGGGGCATTCGTTGTTTTATTTCTTTTAACTTTTGGAAATGATCTCATATGTGTGTTTATTTTGGATTTGTCATTCAAATGTTTAATTTAAACATGTCACATTTGATATTCCTCCTCCTCCTGTCCTTACTCCCATCCACATGTGCGCACACTGCGTGGACTGATTGCCCCTTGGGCTCATATGTTGGACTCGACCAGGTAGGCCAGCCCTGCCATTGGGGCATTAGTAAATGTGCCTGTGCGTGGGTCTCGGTCCAACACAGTTGATCTACATTTGTTTACCTGTTATAGTTGCAAGTTGTACAGGCTGACATTGCCTCGATCGACAGTGATGCTGTCGTTCACCCGACAAACAATGACTTCTACATCGGTGGTGAAGTAGGTAATGCCTAGCCGGGTGCTGCCGAGTGTGTGTGTGCATGGTCAGTCGGCCGCCGCAGACAGCTTGATCCTTTGACAGCTATGCAGGGCTGCATTCATTTCACACTTCCAGCTGTCCTGACCATCCCAAGGCCTCCTATCCCTGGGTTGTGAACTGAGGAAAAACAGCTAGCTGTCAGCCAGGGTCTGTCGTGTAGCTCACTAGTGGGCACTTCTAGTTTGGAACTGGCTCAGTAGCATTGTTTCTTTTGCCTTTTGAGGAATAGCTTTGTTGGAGACTGGGTTCACATATTTCAGCAGCAGGGAGGACAGGGCCAGATGGGCTGAGTGGCCTTCAAAACTACTTCTGTGCCCTCTGAAGAACAGACTAGCACAGATGCCTGTGCATAGGACTCCGCCACTCCCACCCAAATTCTCTCCTTGTCAGAAGCGTGCATATTCCTGAATATGGCCCTACAATCTCAGGTGCACAAAGGAGACCCTTTCCAAATGCTCTCCCACATGCCAGGTTCTCAGACTGGAGGGACATGAAAAACACCTCATTTTAAAGAAATGTCCTTCGATAGCTCTTAGGAAACACTGTTCGGGTTTCATGCTGGCAGCTTAGTGTGGATTTAACTACCAGAGTGCTTAGTAGCTAAGGGTGGCCAAGGCAGCACTTGGGATGCTGAGTACTGTGGCTGATGATTTGCAGTGTGGGCATCAATGCCATACTCTAACAATACACTGAAGAGCTTATTTAATAAGTAGGCATCCAAATGTAAGAGAATCACTAGCGAGAAAGAACTTGAATTCTAGCCTTGCCATCTACTGGTGATGAGGCCTGGGCAAGCCACTTACTTCATGATCTCTCAGTAACAATGAGAATTATGTGAAATATAGGCAAGGGTGCCTTGTTTGTGCCTGTCTCATGACTGGTGCTTGCTGTGTAGTCTCACACATGTGCATATATGATTTTATATATAGATATGCTGGGACCGAGAGCAGCATTGAATATGGACTCAAATATAGCTTCCAAAAAGAAAGCCAACATTCCTAGTAAGTGCAGAGTCCATTAATCTTGAACAACAGAGAGATCAGGACTTTGTGTCTTGGACATGGGATGTGCCATAGCTCAGCACACGGCGGCTGTCCAGTTCTGTTCTGTGTCAGTAGCAGAGACTTCTGCTAGCCATCTTCTCCAGACACTAATTTGAGCTAATTACTCTCCTAAGCATTTTGGTCTTGAATGGGAAGACAAACTGGATGGGAAATCAGGATTTGCCAAGTCTGCCAGGCTAAAGTGAAATCAGGCTCTGGACAATTAAACTCCCCTTTCACAAGATTTTGGAGTTTAAGTGCTTCTAAAACCAGCAGCTTAAGATAAAGATGTTTCCTTTCTTAACCCATCAGGGAGGGAAGTGGTTATTTGGAGAAAAATAAATAAATGAACAGGGAAAGGCTTGTCTTCTTTTCAGCTGAGAGTGACTAAGGCCTGGGTTCCTTCTGCCACGCAGGTGTTTGATGAAATTATGAAGCTCCCTGGGCAAAAGTATCTCACCTAGGCACAAGAAGAGAAATTTGGCTGACCTGCAACCCGTGAGACTCGTTCAGCAAGATTAGACATACTAGGGGAGACCTGGAATGTTTGAAACAGGGTTGCAGTGAGCTAGGGAGGAACAGGCAGAGCTAATTGTTCCCATGAAGAGCCTAGACCTTCCCAAACTGTGATCTTGTTGGCAGATGTTGTTGGCACAGTGATGGTCCTAATTCTGTTCCTCTTATATGCTTGCCCACAGACAACTGATAGGCAAGGCAAGGGCATATAAGTAACCTGGGCCCAAGAACTTGTCCAGGGTCATACCATGTATCATCACTGACACACCACTAAAGAAAAACCTCAAAGAAGGAAAGACTGCCAGGGCCAGAACCCAGTCTTCCAAAGTCTACCTCCATGGTTTATTTAGCAACCCAGTCCAAACTAGTACTGACCCCAGATACCTTGTACAATCCCAAAAGAAAAAAACAGACTCATACATGGCTTCAATTGGTTCCAGCTCCCACTTTCATGTGTGAGAGGGGAAAAGAGGAAGTTAGGAAGTAGTCACTCCATTTCTCATTTATGGTGTGAATTCCTGAGTCCCAAGACTGCTGGAAGAAGGAATTCGAGTGCAGAATGCTTAGCCCCAGTGATTAACTTTTACCCATCAAAAGTTCTTTCTAACAGTGAAATAGACCACAGGCTTAGCCTGACATTTGTCCAAGCCTAAATTTTCGCTTAGGCTGTTTTGAACACTGATACTTATGCCTGCTTTCTAAGCATGAAATAATGTTCTTGTTCTCATGGGAGTAACACATGTTTATGCTTGGGGGCAAATAAGCCAATTGCTTTATGATTAACCCTGAAGTTAAGGCTAAAAAGCAAGAGTCTTACAATAAGAGTGTTGACAATATGGTTGAAAATGGGCCTGTTTCTTGTTAAAAAGTACACGTGTGTCTACCTGAACATGTGCATACATATGTGTGTGTAGGAGTCAAGTCCTGACTGGGTTGATTGCCTGCAACCTAGGATTCTATTTTTAAGTTTGGGAAATGCATTAAGTTTATTTTAACTTGGAATTTCACTTCTAATTAAAGTAATATTTAATTATAAGTATTTTAAAGTAAACACTCTTCCTAAGATAAAACACCTTTAATTATAAATCAGCCCATTTTCTTAGGAGATATTTTAAATTTTAGAAGGGAGTTTGTAGTCTTAATATGAAACTGATTTTATTCTACTTTCCAAATTTCCTGGTTCTCAAAGTGTATGAAAGATGTTAGAGAATGAGAACCTTAAATGATCCAACCTATCTCATATTTGTTTCCTCCCCCTCTAAGGTTGAAAATAGGTTAAAGGGGAGAAACTAGACCTAAAAGCAAGCCTATTTTTCCTCCATGTTGCTTTTTCTTAGCTGCATGGATGTTTCAGGTGAACACATCTGTGAACACTTCTGGTGGGTAGAACAGGGACAAGAGACCCAGAACTTGCTCTTTTGGCACATGACCCATTCAGCTGCTGCCTCTGCTACTTAACTTCTTTACAAACGTGCAGCAAGTAGGAAGTCTCTGGAAGTAACACCTGCCATGTAACGTTTACACTGCTTTTCCAGACAGGTGAAATCACAAGGGCTGTCTGAGATAACAAGGAGCAATACAGGATCCCACCTGGAGCACCCAAAGTTTTTAAGTCCAGCTTTCTCTTAGAGAGCTGAGCGCTCCTTGTAGGCAGTAGGCTATTGGTTGCATTCATTCACACACTCCAGATTTCTGCAGTGGAGAAGTGACAGGTTCAGACCCTGACAGTAGCCCTGGTCCTATCTTTTTTGCAAAAATGCCCAGGCTATTTGCTTTTCCTTCCAGACATTTCTGGGATTAGCTCACCTCTGTAAAACAAGTATGTGAATGAGGCAGGTTTTGCTAATATAAATAGATCTGGTCACTGCAGTGTGAATCCAAAGAGAATTTGGGCTGGTATATTTCAGTACACCTTGACTGACCTATTCCAGAATTGTGCCAGGTACATCTTGAATATTTCAAGACAAATGGTGAATCTTAAGGGGAGTATTTTATCCTCTTGTGAGGAAAAGTACTTTAAAATGTGCATACCTGAGGAACCAGAGCTTAAGGAAGAACTAGGCCATATTCTGGCTAAATTTTAAAGGATGATTCCTTTAAAGGGAACACCAGTAACTTTGATTGCTGCTTGCTAGCTCACACACATGTTCAATCCAGAGTTCTCATAGATGTTGGTAATCTTGAGAACTTGCCTTTTATAGTGGTAAATGATAACTTAGCAAGTACTCTAAGTTAAGAAAGCACAGTTCTCCTGACTGCCATTGACTGTTTTAAATTTAGTCCTGAACAGTTAGACATCCTTCTTTCTAAACTTTTAAACAAGTTCATCTTTAAGCTCTGTTTCTGATGTTGCCCTCCTTTCCCTAAAATGATTCAGAATCAATCATTAGTATAATTAAGAAAATACTGTCTCAGGCCATTTTCTTTTTGTATTCACATATGATGCCAAAGCTGCAAAATAGTAACTGTGCGTGTAATGCTGGTCCAGGGGTGGTCAGATATGAACACTTTCTTCTGGGCCTCCTGCCCGAATGAGAGCTGGCTACCTGATCATGATCTCCTGCTTTGCAGACGTCCTTATTTGGGGCCTTTTTCCAGAGATAGGGAAGAAAACCCAGGCGAGTGTTAGGCTTGGAAACCAGCACCAGCTGATGTCTTGTGCATGTGAAGACTATGCAGCCCAGGCATATTTGCTGGGAACAGATATCTCCAGCATTATCATCCTGAGTTTGACTAAGGCATGGCACAGACAGCTAAAAGCAGCAGCAATGCCAGAATGGTAACTGGGCTGTGGTAAATCCCTTCTAGATTTTACTTCACTGAATTAGCCAAAGCATAGTTCCTGTTTTGCAGTCTTATGGAAATTTAGCTAGTCAGATCATTTAAAGAATGTAATCACTTGACATGCTAAGTGTCTGTGTGTGTAAGAAGACACAGTATGGCATTCTGATCCCACCCTGTCCTTGTTTAGGAAACACACTGGAGAAGAAGGGTGGCAAGGAGTTTGTGGAAGCTGTTCTGGAACTCCGGAAAAAAAATGGGCCCTTGGAAGTAGCTGGAGGTAAGATGGGGAAGGCCCTTTGTTTATTTGGGTATGGCACATATGGTATTGGGGAGACGGTTTAGGATTCAGGGGTGCAAATGCATCTCCAAGGTGGAGAGTCTTGAGCTTTACTTACATGCACATTGTCAGGAGAGCTTAAGCTTCATGAAAGTAACTTCTATAATTTTTAAAATTATGTAAAATAGTTTCTATATGGCACCTAGACTTAAAATTTTAAGGAATTATAGAATCTGAGATTGGCAAATCTAAATCTTACCAATTTCAAAATCTAAATCTTACCAATTTCAGACAGCAATACTGAGCCATCTGCAAAACTGTTTATGAGGAATGCATATTAATAATCTTCACTCAGCCATCTGTATTCTTAATGGAGAACATATAAATACACATTTTTCATTTGCACCTTTCCTAGTAAGAGAGGGGAAGAAAATGACTGGGAATCTGACATGAGAAGTATTGCTAAGACCTAGGGCAAGATACTTCTAGCTGCAGGCCTAAATGGAATTTTAGGTGGTCAGGGTGTGCAGGACAGAGGCCTTCTGAGTCCATGCAGGGGTGCGGTGTGCAGCATCCCAGCTGTGCATGAGGAAGGGCCCTCCCCTTCTTTGCTGTGGGCTTTGGTTTTCTCTCATTCCATGATCTTCCATGCCAATTCTGCTTGTAAAATCTTCTGTTTTAAAAGTGAGTTTTTCAAAAAAGCGAGTTTTAAAAATTACTTGTTGACATCTACACAGTCCTTTCTCAGTGCTACCACCTGGCCTTGCTGCTCTTCCTCCAGCAACAACCCATGGCCTTCCATCCAGGGTTAGTCTTGGGGCCTATTAGGGAAAAACAAGTGGCATTTCCTTTGCTGATCTGAGCCTCTGCTCTGCCATTTCTTGTTTTGCCTGTAAAGGGCATGACAGGAGGAGCACTAAAGTCCTTCCCATTGTTCTACCAGTATCCCATATGTGCAAAGGAAGGTGCATCCCACCAGGCCAGCCAGGGGCTGCTGGCCTTTCACTGGTCCCTTTCCTACCAGTGCTTATGTTTGAACCTCACTAGTGACCCTCAGCACTCTTAATTGGAGGCAGGATGGTGCCATCATGACTAACTCTGCTTATAAAACTGGAGGCCTAGCTGCTAGCAGCAAGCCCATTAGATTTAGCATGCTTCCAATATTTTTGTTTCTCAGAGATATTTTAGAAAATATTTTTTAATTATAAAGAAAAGAATGTTCCTTTTCTACTGCCAGAGATAATCTCTGTTAATCATGCATAATTTAGCAATGGCTTCATATGTGGACAAACAGGGAATTAAACCTCCTAATAGTAGATAGCTTCTGCCCAGATCTTGTGAAGCCAGTTACAGAGCAGAGGCACTATTCAAACTCAGAGCCTAGACTGTTTGTTTAGAGCTATTCTGTTAGCACCCCAAGACACTGCCCGTAAATTGCTCCTCCTCTAGTTTCTCTTAGTACCTTAACCTATACCCCAGGGATAGTGCAGACTGTCGTTCCTCAAAAAAATAGGTTATATCATAGAAGTGTCGGTGTCAGCTTGAGCAGTGGAATGATTAACTACAGCCCTCACCAAACCCAGACCCTGGAACTGCTTTTGTTGTAGAGCATCGTACACATAGGGAGACAGTTAGACTTTCAGCCTGTGTCCTTAGATATAACAAGGGGGAGGCAAACCCTTGTGGACGTGAAGCTGGAGATGGGCTCCTCTTACAGGAAAAGCTGCATCCTAAAGGACCTATCTAAGCCTGCACAAGTAGGCACAGTCTCCCAGAGAGGCTGGCCACGGTGGGCAGCCAGGGTGCTCAGCACTCTCCTACTAGGTTTGTTTTGAACAGTGGCTGGGAGATTGAGAGATACATTATAGTTCCCAATAAAAATTCTGGCATATCTGTTGGAGTTAGATGGATAAGGCCCTGCCTTCTGGGAGCACCTGCATGCTTCTGAGGTAGACAGAAGCTCTGCTATAATCTTGGCTAAAACTGGTGGAGCCAGGCATGGTGGTGCACATCTATAATCCCACCACTTGGGAGGCTCAGCCAGGAGGATCACTGAGTTTGAGGCCAGCCTGGGCTACACAGTGAGACCTTGTCTCAAAAATAAATAAATAAAAACTCTTGGTGGGGATGCATCCAGATGCCAGCTTTCCAGGGGTGGGGTTGACTCCCTTGCACCCCTCTCTGTGAGGAGAATAAATCCTGAACAGTTTCCTATGTGGATAGCACAGCCTACAGCTGTGTTTCTCCTTGGACACAGGCCTACAGAAAGCACACTGAAGCCAGAGAGTGGGCCTGAGTTTGGCATCCTGTGACATGTGTTTCTGTCTTATCCCTTCCAGCTGCTGTCAGTGCAGGCCATGGCCTACCCGCCAAGTTTGTGATCCACTGTAATAGCCCAGTCTGGGGTGCGGACAAGTGTGAAGAACTTCTGGAAAAGACAGTGAAAAATTGCCTGGCCCTGGCTGATGATAAGAAGCTGAAATCCATCGCATTTCCATCTATTGGCAGTGGCAGGTAGGGGGCACACCTGTTACCATGTTGTCCATCATAGGTATATTTCTCTGCAACCATGACCCATAACTGTGAAACTGTCACTCTGAAGCCTGCTGAGGCTGCCTTCAGGCCTTCCCTCTGGCAGGGACAGAAGCATGAACCAGGGGATGAAAGAAACATTAAACACTGATGAGGGACAGTTGAAGAGATAAGAAGACAAAAGGCCTGAGGATGATACAGAACTTGATTTACAACAGTGAGTATCATTAAAAGGGGATTACAGAGACTGTCTCAGAGAGGGAGTTTTGAAGGACACTAAGGGACACCCCTGCAAGAGTAGTCTTTTAAGAGCAGAGGATGCAGGTAAGGTATTGCTGCACCTACCTTTTCCCTAGATGTTGACTTCCAGATGCCATCGAATAGTATTCAGGTGTCTTTTGGGGTGGTGTTTTAGCCCTGGAGTTGAGTCCTGGCTCAGCTCTTTATGTCATATAAATGCACCCCCAACTCTGTAAAATAGGCATAATCATCTACCCTGTGTATTGTCTCAGGTTTTTCTGGAAGCTAAAAGAACTTTTAGACGGAGAGTATGTTGAGAATGCTGCCATAATATAGGGGCCCATTAGGGCAGTGCTACCTCAGAAATGGGGTCCCACTGCCTATCACTTCTTCAGGGTCTTACCCATTATGGATCTAAGTTACAGGCTTCTGGAAGGCTGGAAATTGAGCCCTGAAACAGAGAAAAGGCCGTTAGAAGCTGCACTTGTTAGCATCTGGAGCCAAGAGGGGCCATGCTGGCGATGCTGTAGTGGAACAGTCTGGATGGAGAACCTGTCACTGCTGCTGGGCCATCCCAGCACCCAAGGAAGGCAGGGCCAAGGGGCAGCAGCAGTGACATATCCTGAGCAACATCCTTAGGCCAACACCACACATGAGGAAAGCTACTTTTTCCCTAACACTTGCTTTTCACATTCACAAAGGGCACAGAAAGTGGCCCTGTTTTGTTCCATTAGGGAGTCCCTAATTCTGCCAAGCATTCTGTGCTTCAAGTGGTAGCCCCAGCCCCAGCTCTGAGTGGACTTCCTGTCATGTTGCTCAGAAGGCCTTGTCCACAGGCAGGTACTGCCACCATTCCCCCATGGCTCGTTCTGTGTGGCCCAGGCAGTCACACATCATCATTAGGACCCAGAAAAGGACCCCACTGGAGGAGCTCTGTGGCTGCACCTGACCCTGCTGCTCTGGAGCCTTTCACTGCCTCCACTAGCAAGCAGCACAGGGATAGGATAAGGGCTTCCCCCGCCATTCCTTCCTGGCCCAGCCCATGGTGTGAGGGGGCTGTTACTGTGGCAGGAAGGTTCCTTAGCAGAAACGAAGTGAAAGGGCAAGCCTACACCAAAGCTTCTGCACAGTGTGCTCAGCTGCACCACCAGTGTGGGGACGAATTGGGGGATTCCTGCTCACATTCCTGTTGTTTTGGGTGGCCATCTACATTTCCAGTCCCTGAACATCCTTATCCTAGTCTCTCATCAGAACCATACATAGACCATCATTTAAAAACTCAATACCATTTAAATGCACATCAAAAGCTAACAGAGATGGGACATCTGAAAGGTCTTTCAGTCAGCTCAAAGAGCACATGGTATTCGCAAGGTGGTCAGCAAGCATCCAGTGACTCAACTTTCCCCAGAGGTATGGAGATGTTATAGTGCCAGGGTGAGTCCCACAGTATATTTAAAACCATTTTTTTACTTTTACAAAATGGATCAAAGCTTAAGTGGCCATATTTCTGCTTCTCCCACCTTCTCATCCTCCCCAGAGGTTTATCCTTTGGCAGTGTGCTGAGTGACCTTTTATAAATGAATCAACCTTTCTGTACCCTAACCTTCCTTAACAACAAGTGAGGCCTTAGGGACTACCTTTCCTCACAGATGGCTCTGAGGCTCAGTTAATTAGTGCTTTGGATGCGCTTTGATCTACTCTGATGAAAGGTGCTTCCGAAGAGCGAGGCAATAGGACCCTTTATTGGAGGTAATAATTTCACGCTCTTTCATATGGCTATTGGGAAAATTTTAATTGAAGCATAAAAGTAATTCCCATGAAAGAGCATCTGTTATTACAAACTTATTTACATTTTTCATGGAATAAAAAGTTTTAAAAAATAATCAGTTGAAGGCTTTTAAGAGGGCAAAATGCCAAAGGCAGCACATGTGCCATGCTCCCTGGGCTCACATCTGTCAGGCAGACCCTGTCACACAGCCGTGGAAACAGCTGCCCTCCCTTTCATGAGGAAAGAATGGGATTACACCAGAGCCGGCCAGTAAATCACAGGGGGTTAGGAGGGGAAATAAAACTGCTTGTTTGTGGCATCCAGTGTCTCTGGCATAAAAGTCATGCTGAATTTAAACAGTATAAATGCAAACATGGACAGGAATAGGGATCACTTTCTCTAGGGGAGGCCCTGCCTCTCCCAATGTGAAGGCCCGACAGGACCCTGATTAGGTGCTGTTTGCTTTCTCAGTCTGTCTGTCCTGCCTGGGGGCAGATGAGACCCCCACTCCCTTGTAACCATGGCCATTCTAGTCACAGCATTTATGGACACCCTACTGAACACGCTCTGTTTGACACTGGGAGACAGGCCTCTCCAGAGCAGTATGTAGGGAATAGCTATTTGGGGGATCTTTCAGTAAACTTTGCTTGGAGTGCCCAGCAGGGCTGGAGGAGCTCGAACCTTTCCTTGGGTACATATCCTGGGAGGACAGCCATCCCCTGTACATCCCTCAGTCATCTCAGAGCAGGCTGACCCAAGAGGACATCACACTGAAAGCCTTTGGGACCCCTTACACTCATCTAGGGAAAAACTATTCTGGACACAACTGGCATGACTTCAAGGGCAGCTCGGACCTGGCTTTAGTCTGCTCAAAATAAGGCCTGAGCAGGGAGAAGTGTGATCAAGGCTCAGACCGTGTGCTAGAAGAAACAGTCTGGCTCCCAAAGAACTGAAAACAGAAACAACGCACAGGACAGGCTGGGGCTGATGGTAGCCACGGCAGCACCCTCCTCATGAAGTATATACCCTCAAAGGAACTATTTTCAGTGAAGAACATTGATGCTCCAGGGCTGGGGCTGATGGTAGCCACGGCAGCACCCTCCTCATGAAGTATATACCCTCAAAGGAACTATTTTCAGTGAAGAACATTGATGCTCCAGGGAAGCTGGGATTCAAACCCAAATCTGATTCTGCCATTTACCCTCTCACTGTATGGCATCTGTTATCTTTGAAAGGCAGACTCTGCAGCCAGAGGGCAAGTGACTGTCACAGACCATATACCTGAGCTGGAGAGGAAGACAGAGAGACCTAGCTAAGCAGTAATGGCTATTCAGACAGACTGTGTTTATGCAACTAATCAGGGAACCCAGCCAGCCAGAAGCCAAAGATGAACAAGCAGTCAGGAGGTTCTCCCAAGTCAGTCAGCATGTCAGCACCATACGAGGGAGCCTATACTGTGCCACTGCATGCAGCAGTCAGGGAATACAGCTCCAAAACACTGGGCACTGTAGATTGGAAAGCACGGTCTGGGGGCCTGAGGCCAGCATTGTTAGTAGCATTACAGTGACAATAACAGTCACCCAGGCACAGCTGCCACAGTCAGGGCCTGGGGTAGGGTGGCTGTGCTGCACTGTTAGGCTTTAAAAAGACTCTTAGAGACCATTCACTTAAAAGAGGCGGCGCATGCTGTGCTTAATGGATGATTTCATACTCTGCCTCTCTTGTTCCTGAACAAGATGGGATCAGGTACAGACACAGGGCTGCTACTCAGTTCCTGTGTGGCACCGGGAACTCCAGCACTCCTAATTGCTCTGCTTCTCTGCCCTGGGATAGTAGAGCTGTCTGGCCAGCTGGACATCAGAGCAAAGATGGGACTAGCTTGCCCAGGCCACTGCGTGGGGCCCCATTTTAGCACACACGAGAGCATCTTATGCATTCCACTGTATTACAGATGCATCTAACTGAGGCAGCTAGGAAACATTTAGGGGCCTACCTGAAAACATCAGGAAAGCCATTGCCTTTGCCATTGCTTTCTGGCTAGCAGCCTGCATGGTTCTGAGCACCCAGTCTCATGCTACTTGCTTATGTTGTGGTTTCCTAGGATAGGGATGGCCTCAAACAGAATTTTCTACAAACAAATTCAGATTCATAAACTCCCAACAGCAGCCTTGAAGGTTTGGCACCTTCTGCCAGAAGGTCAGCCTCTTAACAGGAGGTCACACTGGTATGGGTACTCCTGATCTAAAACCTTCAATCCTTACCTTCCTCTCCTCTTACGGGATATTACTGTATGAGCCCTACTTGTAAAATCCATCCTGGATCTGCATAGGACCGTGGTTCTCAGAGTGGTCCCCAGACCTATGGGATCAGAAACTGCAGGTAGAGCCCATCAAGCTGTGTTCCAACGAGCCCTCCATGTCTCTGGTGCTGGCTGGAGTGTGAGATCTATGACATAAGGGGCAGAAAAGATTATTCCCTCATAGAAAGTCTCCCACCTTTTTCAGAAGACTAGAGAGTCTGTGTCAAAAGTGCTGAGCCCAGGCAGGCGTGACTGGAGTACTCTAGGTACTCCTTGAAAGCTCTCAAGCCTTCCACTCAGCAGGGAAGAATGGGCCAGGGTCACACCGTCTCCCATCACACCATAGCCCGGAACTTAAAGTTAGAGCTGCAGTGGGTGGGCAGACACAGACATAAGCTGGGCCCATTAGGTCACATGACACACTGCTATTCTGCATAGTTCCCTCCCTTGTCCCAGATTACCTGTGCAGGTATGATGCAGGACAGGCAGGAAGATACCCTTACCGCGGGAGTGTGGAGCTGGCAGAGCGCGGCTCCTCACAGCTCCTCACAGCTCTCAGTCCTGGTGCATCTAGGTAATGTTCACAGGCAGAGGACCACCGACCACAGATGTCCCCGCCTTCTCTTAGCTCCCACACAGGCTGTGGCAGCACATGGGAGCCCAGCCACAACTGGACATAACTTACACTGCTGGGAGGAGACTCCCCAAGGGAAGATCAAGTTTACTTTCTCCAGCAGCTGTGGCAGGCTGAGCAGTTACATCTGAGAATAGGCATGGGTGCCAGAGTCAAGCTACCCACACTCATCAAAGCTTTCATCCTGCACAGTCCCCATCTCCCTCTAGTTGGGCTCACCTGTTTGTCTCAAGCCACCACCTTCTCTTGGGAGAAGGCTAGAAGGTTTTGAGAGCTCTGCGCCATTCTTCTCTTGGCTGCCTTGTGTGCCCTGACTCTCTGCACATGGACTGGGGAGTATCTGTCTATGAAGGAGCCCCGACCCTAGGTAACACCCCATTAAATGCCCTTAGGCTGGGAACGTGCACTGGGCAACACCCCTTGTCCTGTAAGAAGGTGCTCCATTCTTGAAACATCCACAAGTTCCATTGTCTTCACTGGAGCTGTGGGTGAAGCTCTGTACAATTCACAGCAAATCACAGCACAGGTTTCTCCTGTGGGCACACACCGTTCTCAGCACTGATAGCTGTGGAATGCTCATAGCTCTCCAGGGAACCAACCAGTGCTTTAAAACTGAAACAAATTCTCCCTGCACCTGTTTGCAAACCTTTCTACCCGGCCACCTAATAGAGGGGACCAGCCCAAATGGCAGGCTGTCCCCTCACTTCAGATTCCAGTAGGTTCACAGGCTCAGGCAGACTGATGACTAGATGTGCCCGTGAACAGAGAAATCCCTGTGGGCCCAAACCCTCACCCTCAGTATGATTAACTGCATAATGGGATCATAAGGTACTGGAATCCATGGCCACTGGCTTGAAGTCCAGATTATTTCCACCAGAACAGGCAAGCTGCCTCGTTTTTGCCACTTTCCTTGGGGTGCCCTGGGTTGTTAGTGTTGACTGGGAGCAGCCTCAGGCACATACAGATCCACAAGTGCTAAACCTCTCAGTCCTGAGTTCACGTTCCATTTAAATTCTGACCTCCTACCTTCCAGCATTGCTAGGTACTTCAGGTTATCACATACATGGGTTCCAGTACATTTGGAGACTTGGATGATGTCCCAGAAATGAAAAGGCTACCCAGCCCTGAGTAGTTCTATCCCTACAGCTCCTGATGCCCTGGCATTTAGGGTGGCACCAGCTAGTGTGTGCTGGGGGGTGGATTCTAGGCCAGCAGCCATTGCAGTCATGAAATCTAAAGGTTGGTGTAAAAGGAGTCACCTTTCTGTGTGTGGGGACAGCAGTCAGTACCTTCCCAAAGAACTTCCAGCCATTTCTGGAGCTGACACCCAGTGGGAGCACCAGGAGCCCTGGCTGTGTGGTCCAGGAATAGCACTAGTGGCAGGGATGATGGGAAAAGCTTGCACTGCCCTTGGACAATTTAAATGCTCATGACAAAGCGCCCTCCTCCTCCTTGCTGGCTGCCTTTCAGAAAACCTCCTGGTGTCAGAAGCATGCTGCTCACTCTACCGCATAACACAGCTCTCCGCCATTGCCTGTCCTCCATTTCTTGGGCACTGAGTTTCCTCACACCTGTGCACAAGCAGCTCAGTGGGCACTGGTCCAGTCTTGAGGCCTCTTGTGGAAGAGGGTGCAGGGAAGGGCAGTGCCCCCATCATTGTGACTGCCTGGCTGCTTAGTGTCTGCTTTCTCTCCGCAGGAATGGCTTCCCAAAGCAAACAGCAGCCCAGCTCATTCTGAAGGCCATCTCCAGTTACTTTGTGTCCACGATGTCCTCCTCCATCAAAACAGTGTACTTCGTGCTCTTTGACAGTGAGAGTATAGGCATCTACGTGCAGGAAATGGCCAAGCTGGATGCCAACTAGGCTGAAGAACTCCAGAACCAGCCCATGCTGTTCCCCCGCCTCTGATTCAAAAGAAAAAAAAAATCCCCCCCCCTTCACTTTTACTGGGAGGCGAGAGCCCTTTCATTTTCAATTTTGCTCATCTAGGGAAAATAAGGTTTTGGTTTCCAGTTTAATTGTTTTTGACCTTCTAAAATGTTTTTACGTTAGCACTGATAGTTGGCATTACTGTTGTTAAGCACTGTGTTCCAGACCGTGTCTGACTTAGTGTAACCTAGGAGATTTTATAGTTTTATTTTAATGAAATCCTGTTTTGACACAGAGCAGTGGGAAGAACGGTCCCTTTTACACGTCGCAGAAGCCAGGAAACCCTGTCTGTAACCTTGTGTTGTGGTGCTTTATTGTACACCCAGTGGCGTTCTTTTTACTATAATTTTTTTTTCCTCAGAAGAAAAATCATGAATTTGCAACAGACCTAATTTTTGTTTACTTTTTGTCTTAATGATGGATTTGAAAATGAAAGATTTAAAAGGCAGAATAGAATCTGTTCTTAATTATATTTGCAATTTGGAATTTGTGTGAATTGATTTAGTAAAATGTTAAACTGTTGTTGCGACGGCATGTTTCAAGTTATTGTGCTTATGAGTGACAAGTCTTAGTCCACTTCCCTGGTCACAGGATGAGGGGGGCAAGCAGCCCACCCCTCAGGAGGCTGCACAGTGGCAGTGGGTTAGGGGCCATCCACTGGCCCCCAGGGGTTTGTAGAGAATTCACATAGAGTCTGTCCTGCCAGTCTTATGACTATAGGCAAATGTTACCCCATTCACAGATAAGGAAGGGAAGGTCCCAAAAGCCAGTGGCAGGCCGGTATTCACATAGCCCAAAGCTCCACCCACCCATCTGGCCCCTCAGCCAATCTTTGTGACTCATGATTGGGCTTGGGAGTCCAGGGCCACTTGCCAAATGGAGCTGCAGAAACCGTATACTCTGTGCTGGTACTGCTGGGCCAGTCATCTCTGCAGCACAAGGTGCCTGGAGGGGGGCCCCAGCAGTTTTGCAGAGGCAGGCTGCCACCCCTGCCAAGCTCCCCAGGATGTGCCTCAGCTTTTGCATGCCCTCTTACAGCCCACCTGCTTAGGCTTATAGTGTATTGAGAGATCCCAGCAAAACCAGAGTAGCTAAAATACATTAGCAGGGTGGGGGATTTAGCTCAGTGGTGCCATCACCTGCCTTGCAGTGCAAGGTCTGAGTTCAATCCCTGGTACCAAAAAACAAAAACAAAAAACTCTAAAATACATTAGCAAACAGACACTTTTTACTTCAAAAAGTACTTGTGCCTTAATCTAAATTTGTCCAAAATGCACAGAAGCCTTCTTCCATCTTCAAAAAGTGCTCCCTTCAAAAGCAGACTGAACAGGAAGAAATACGTAGTACCCTACAGAGCATGAATGCACACTTTTCCTAAAGTGGGCCTCCTGAGGTGAGAACAGAAAGCAGCAAATGTACAGCACACATCCCACAGTGGGCTGTTCGCACGTGAAAGTTCTAAAACATTTGCCAACTCTAGAATATCATACAACCCATCTTTTATAGTGAAAAGGCAACCACTTCTAACTCAAATCAAAAATGATCTTTCCAAATTTGCTCAAGTGTCGGGTGTTACTAAGAATCTTAAATTTCTTTTTTTTTTTACAAAATCTTTGCTGGGTCTAGATCATGTATTCCCATTTCTTGATTAGACTATGGGAAGAGATGGGAAACCCCCTGGCATTGATTCTTTTTAGAGGATGTATCTTAAAATTATACCACTTCATAATAATTTCAGGGAGCTGTTTCCCTGGACAAACCATACCACCATCCAAAGAGAATTTTTTTACAGGTAGACCCTGCAGGGAGGGTGAAGGGCAAACAAGGGCTACCATTAGCTGGTGATGCTGGTATTTGTGCTGTGCCAGGCACCGTACAAGTCCCTCACGGGCATCATTTCATTTTCTGTTTGCAATAACACTTTAAGGCAGGTCTATCTTTAGATACATTTTACAGCTGAGAATACTGAGGCTGAGAGATGATACTTGCCGGTGACCACATTGCTAACAAGTGATACACAGATTAGAACAGTGATACAGAGCTCCTGAAGGATTGCTAATCAGCAACAAGAGAGTCCATTTGACCTTGGTGGTAATTCTGACTCAAATTCTGAAACATCCATCTCAAGCCCCCCTATTGAACATCTAGAAGGAAGTAAGGTTTAAATGGCTTCTCAGTGAAACTGCATTTCCTTTGGAGAAATACCATGGAGGCAAATGCTGTATTTTTCAAAGATCTTCCACTAGATGTCGCTCAAAGGATTGGGAAGTATTTTAGAGAAAAAGCCAGTTTCTGCTCTTCCTTATGATTTCACAAAAGAATAAATTTCATTTGTCAGGCTTTGCATAAAGTTTTCATGCTCCTGAGATGAGGGCGCATTTGAAGAAACACTTTTCAGTGAAAGAGGCCTCAAATCGCCTGGGATTCCCATCATGTTTACACCACCCAGTTAGATTTTCAAACTGATCAAAAATTGCTCTCTGACATCAGCCTTATACTTAAAGGAGAGGACAAACTCATTACATTTTAAAATGAGTTCAACTGCAAAGAATCTCATAAAATGCATACATGCCTCTAATTCCAAAGAAAAGTTTGCAATTTACCAAGAATGAAATTATTTTGAGGGAGGAAACCCTGTGGAATCTCGAGCTTAGTGTTCCGCCCGGCCCTTCCCTTTGCCCTGAGTTGTGTGCAGACAGCCTGATAGGTGTTGCTGTGAAGCAGAGACCCCTTCCTCCTCTGACAGTGGCCACAGGCAACAATACCTGCTCCCATTTGTTTCCGGAGAACAGTCCTTGTCCTCAGCTGCTGGGCTCTTCTCTGAATAATCCAGATTTTCTCAGCACATCTCCATGAGCCTCTTTAAATTACATCTGAGGGGCTGGGAATTTAGCTCAGTGGTGCTGCTGCCTGCCTCATAAGCACAAGGTCCTTAGTTTGATCTTCGGTGCCAAAAAGAAGTTACATAAATTACACCTGAGATCCAACAGCCCTGTGGCTCCAACTGGGACTAAACTGACAATAATAACCACTCTGTGTGTGTGTCCTCTATTTACATGCATCACTTCATTTATTCTCATGGCAACCCTGTGAGGAGTGTGACATTATCTCTTTTATAGCAGAGGAAACCACAACACAGAGGTAAAGCATATTCCCCCAGGACAACCTCTGTATTAGGTGGAGCTGATATTTGAACCCAGATCTTATTACAACCAGGGCTCTCCCCACCCTCCCTGGAGCTGGATTCTCATTTGGTATCTGTTCTCTAGTATTCTGTTCTCTAGTTAGGCAGTGTCTGTTGCCTAGTCACTGACAGGGCCTGTGTGGCTGCCCTTGGGGGTATAAACAGCCTATTGGATGGAAGATGAACAGAAATGTGCATTCAAATAGTACAGCAGTCAGCTGGAGTTAAGTGCTTAGTATGAACGAGGCCTTGGGCTGTGGGCCTCCAATAAAGGCAGATCAGACAACATCTCTGTCCAATGACAGAGGCTTAGAGCAGGATGTTCTGCTCATTGGTTCAGAGGGTTCTGTGAGAGTCTTCTGGAGCAAATAATCTAATGCTAGACTTTGTAGGAAAGGCTGGGACCTTCCATGCCAAGAGAGCAAAGTAACGGGCAACAAATAGCAAGCTGGCACATAGGCTGCTCCCCCAGCCCCACCTAGGGAGTTCCCAGTGTTCCCTCTGCTGAGAATCCCTGGTTTTCAGTCTGGCTGTGCTCCCAGCCTCCAGCCTGAGCATTTGGAGATGTCGAATCGTGGACTAATCTGTTTGGCAGAATTTCTCCCTCCCATTCGAGGTCAGATGGCTGTATATAATCACAGCTACAGCTAGCCCTGACAGACAAACTAGCTTACACTAAAACACGAAGGAAAAAATTGGTTTAAAAAAAAAAGAGACACTAATTTCTAGAATCCCAACTCTCCTAATCCCAGGGCCCTAGGCTGTCCATGCCTGTCCTTTCGTGGGAGACAGGATCCCTATCTGGTCCAGGCTGGGCGGGTGCAGGCAAACCAAGCCTCTCATTTCCTTATTTTGTCACTCAGGCTGCAGCATCAGTCACCCTGGTCCTAAGAGGATGGTTTGGCCGACTTACTCTTTAGGTATTGTGATGTTTAATTTTCACCGACAGCTCTACTGGCCAGCATTATTTTGGGAGCTGGCCTTGGTGCCACCTTTGAGAGATCGACCTAAAAAGTCGCTGGGGTAGGAAGGGGTCATGGGAACCCACTCCCCGCGCCCCGTGAGAAGAAAGGGAAATGCTTGATGGCTAGGGGCGAGGCCGCCTATTCTTGGGCTTTTGTTCTATTTATAACCTGGCCTGTTGTATTTGCTTCTGGGGGTGTGGATATCAAAATATTATCACGTGATCCTGACAGGCGAGGCAATAATGCTGCTCATTAATCCCCAGCTGCTCACCACCCTCCATGCTCCTGGCAAAGGTGTGTAAATAGATTGGCCTTTCCCTGACCCCTGAAAAGCAACCCAGCCCCAGCTACTTTGTCAAACTCAGGGACCAGTGTGTCTTAGAAACTGCCTCAGCTATAGGAGGCACTGCCCTTCCCTTCCTCTGCTCCTTCCTCAGCAACTGCCCCACACCAGGCACACACACACCCTCACGTACACAGGAGGAGACTCCAGAACACTGTTGGCAGAGGGCAGAATTCAGGAACATGCAAATAAATATCCAACGTGAGCAGAAATCTGGGGCCTGTCTCCTATAACACATAGCTAAAATTTCTCCTTGAGAGGTCCTCCTGGGACTATCTACAGATCTGCCAACAGCCCCCTCTGGAGTACTTAGAACATGTCACCTGGGACTCCTACTAGGGTCTGCCAGACAGCAGCCATGCTGCACAACGACTACACACACACACACACACACACGCACACACACACACACAATGTCAGTGTGTATGCCTTGCACACACTCAGCAAGTCCTGTGCTCTCTGCCAAGCTCTCTGATGGTCTTGCTGGGCAGAGGACAGAAACTACCCAATGTCACAGGTTAAAGGTCACCAATGGCTTCAGGTTTATAACATCAGCTTTAGGGGGACTAAAAGTTTAGAATCCCAAGATGACACCCTATGTAACTTGTGCCCAAATCCTGAAA